CAAGGCTGGCGATCCAAGATTATCTTCTGTGTCTGTGTTAATTGGTTTCCCTTTTCTTTGTTGAAGAGGGTCTGTGCAGTCTTTCTGCCTAGTCCGCCATCTTGCCGGAACTCTTTGGGTCTTATTTTTCTAAGATATATACTTAGTAGTGGGATTGCTAGATCATATGCTATTTTTTTTTCCAGCTTTTTAAGGAAGTCCCATACCATTTTCCACACTGTTTGTACCATTTTACAGTCCCGCCAGAAATATATGAAGATTCCAGTCTCTCCATACTCTTACTAGCATTTGTTGTTTTGAACTTTGCTATTAGTGCTGGGGTGGCCAGGTAACATCATATTTGGTTCCTTTCCTAATCATCTCTCTTCAAACTAGTTGAAAAAACTAGTTTAATTGGTAAATTGTGTTAAAGTTATTGACTAATCTCCAAACAATGGTAAGTTTGCTGACTGATGTATTAGAGTTCTTTCCGAGAAGCAGAACCACTAGGAGTATATATATATATACATCCATATCTACTCTCAGGAGTCCTGGTGGTGCAGTGGGTCCGCACTCAGCTGCTAACTAAAAGGCTGACAGTTTGTACCCACCAGCTGCTCCACAGGAGAAAGATGTGGCAGTCTGATTCTGTAAACATTTCAGTCTTGGAAACCCTGTGGAGCAGTTCTGCTCTGTCCTGTAGTGTTGGAATCAACTCAGCAATGAGTTTGGTGTTTGGTTTTGTTTTTGATATCTAATCTGTATGTGGGTTTTGTTACAGAGATTTGATCTTATCTATGGGAGTTGGTTAAACATTCTATAAAATTGTTGTCTTCATGTATCATGGTGGAGCTTGAAGTCCACAGGGGAGGCAGTCAGGAAGTGAAAATGGATGTAAAATGCAGGAGAGCAAGGGCTAGCTGGAACCTATGAGGATGTACTGGAATCTGTCCTGCAGGAGAGGCTGGTGCCCTTTGTCATGAAGGTAAACACACACCTGTCCACAAGTGCAAGACGCTGGAGGATCCAGGGGAAGATGTAGCAGCTGCAGGTCCAGCTGCTGCCCCACAACAGCAAGGTAGCCAGCAGGTAAGCAACAATGAGTGTGAGATACAAAAGTGCCTGGCCCTGACCTTCCAAGCATAATCACAAAATGGCTGCTGCTCCATCTTCTCCCTCCAAATCTAGCACAAAAACATCTCATGACCCACCCTAACCAAAAACATAACAGGGAGAAGAATTCTGGAAAATGTAGTTCAGCCTAAGCCACAAGAACTGAATCCTATTTTTGAGAAGGCACAAGTGAAGGGTAAGCTAGGGTCCATCTTTATATACGTTACTGTGGGCTACATTGGTCGTGCTGACCTGGGAGGTTTTGAGCTCCTGTTTCCTCAGGAGCAGGAAATATCACTTGCAGCATTAGGGTGACCTACCCACTCTTTTGGTGTAAGGAAGTGTTTCTTAGACTTGATGAGAATGTCCATGCTCCTCACTTCATGTCCTGGGGCTCTGCTATTAAAGAGATTGAGAGTGTGACATATAGCCCTCCTACAAAAGAGATTTTTAGAGATTTGAGTAGCTTTGAATTCTACTTTCAATCTGGCCATTGCTTAAAATAAAGAGATGAGGCTTTCCAATAGCAGTATCTTTTTTTTTTTTTTTTTTTTTTTTTTTTTTTTTTT